AGCTAGCTCAGCTTCAGAAACAAGAGTTTCTTTTACTTTGAGGAACATCACCCTCCACCCTTTCAGCATCTCCTGGTTCTCTTTCTGACTCGGGCCCTATTGAGATTGGACGAAAAGAGCGAGTGTTGAAGACATCCTCGTCGCTTCCTTCGAATAACACAACAAAACAGTATAAGCACACACTCATACGTACAAGCAACTAAAATCTTTTTTACCTTGAGCACCTACTTCGGTCGAACTAATGGGAGCAGACCGACCACCCTTACCTCTCCCAAGCAAGGCACGATCACTTCTCCCCTGCTGCTTCTTTGAGGCCGCCCTCTCTCAACGGACCTCTCTCTGACCACTTCCCAAGAGTCAGATGACGCTCATAACCCACCCTTCGATCATGATCTCGCTACCATCAGGCCGAATCATACATTCTATCACGGTTGGATTGAGGTATTGAAAAAATAAGAGGTGCTGACCCTCGATCAGCGCCTTATGATCTTTGAGATAACCAGAAAGTGTCTTCTTCATTTTCGCCTCGTTTCCCACCAGAACGGTGTTGGTCCCCCAGCCACTAGCGCAAGAGTCTACCGGGAATTTCGTTTTCCAGTCTTTTATCTTATTCTCTCATGACCCACCAAATATATCTTAGAGCCAGCGACAAACTGAACATAGCCATCCCATATGATTTAGAAGGAGAAGAAATGGTTAAACAATTTGAGCAACCAAGGGATCTTCACGCTTTGACAAAAGAGGAAGGTCATTATGGAAGCCACCAAGTTGGGAAGAACTTGAGCAGGAATAACCTCTTACTGTCTGAAAATCAATCGTAATTCCTTGCAGAGCGGCAGACGAATACCCACTTTAAATTGATCTTTATAGAAAACCAAATACGGATAAAAATGGCCCGTCACCCGCTTATGGCTGGCGACCGGCCGAAGCTGGATAGAAGTGTCAGAAATGTAAAGGCTCTGAATCTCCCTCACTTCTGCTGCAGAGAGAATCTAGAATTCCGAGACTGGAATCGACCCAAATGATTATTGGGAGAATTTTTGCGTCATACGATTCGTAACAATGCACGTGAGAGGGGATGGAAGAAGAGGAATAAATAGAGTAAACAGTCACAAAGAAATAAAGGTTATGATGTCACACACACGCATGTGCTTGAAAAAATGAAACGCCGCTGACAAGATTGACGCAATACTCAAGAAAAAATAATCATTACCAGAAATAGAAAATTTGCATTGTATTTATTTATTTACAACAAAAGCGGGGGCGTCATGCCTCACCCTTAGATACAACTAAGAGAGGGAAAACCTAACTAAGCAGTTGTTTGCAGCTTCGTCTGGCCTCGTTGGTGCAGCTGCTCATACATAAATTCGCCACCCAGCTTGAAGGTGTCATTCTGACTATCCATCAGCTGGGCTACGAAAGCCTCAAACGACCAACAGCTCATGACACATTCGAGCCATCTTCTCACGATCAACTAGCATCTCTCCTCGAAAACAACAAGTTCTTCATGAAGTGCATCGACTTATTTTTCTACTCGGTCAACTCATTCCAGAACCTCAGCAATTCCATTATCACTATCTCTCAGAGATTGTACTATGAGGTGAAGAAAGCGCTCCTCCATTTTGGCAAGGTGGCACACCAGAAAGTTAGCATATACTTGATGCCCTCAATATGCCGCCTCCTCTGTTGTTGCGTTAGGAGGAACTTGGCCGCCCACGCTCCTACTGCCAGAGGAAGGATTATCCCCTATCCTCTGAGCCACAACGTCCGGCCCCACGGTGCCCTACTCCATGGTCCCTTGCTCCATAACTCCTTGCTTCCTAACAACCTGCTTCTTGGTATTCTCTCCCCTCTTCGCGGCTTGGTCCACATAGGCCAGATTGCTCTCAGGGTCGGCATCAGTGGCTGACGAAGTGGAAGAGATCATCAGAGCTTCTGAAACTACAAAAGGAGTACTAAAAGCATAATTCAAACTACATACCCAAAACTCAATACCATTCAAAAGCAATGTAAGAGTCGAAGTCGTCACCAGTCTTTTCTAGTCCACCCTCAGAAGCGAGGCCACCCTTTATTGGATTTTGTCCTTGCTTCGATTGGTGCCTTTCCGAGCCGCTCGGGAGTCGTAGTCCTTGCGACAGTCTGAACGGACACTCCTCCCCTTTGGGCAAGAGTGACCACTTCCAATGGGCGTCTCTAAAGACGATCACCGATGCGTCCTCCAACATCCTCGCGGCTCTCCCTTGTGAAGAGCCTGCCAGAAAACCCGAAGACCCAGCTTGGTCTTCGTGTTCCCTCGCTTGCTCAACTCTTATGCGGAAGCCTCTCTTACTAGTTTCCGCTTCGCGTCGGGTTTGCGAGTCTTCGTTCGCATATCACTCATGGCCTTGAGGAGGGTGCTCTTGTCGGCTGATGACGCTCTCTTACCAGACATCGCGACGGGCACAAAATAGAAGAGATAGAAGACTAAAAAACGAAAAGAAAAGAAAACAACGCAAACCTTTCTTACCCTAAGGCCTATTTATAATATTTTGGGCATGAAAATTCAAGGAAGTCCATTATTGCGCAACAATGCCATCTAATTATTTCATGCATGTTAATAGTTTTTCTTATCCTTGTGTATTGTGCAGCTTCCGAGGAGCAAGAGAATTGAATAACTAAATATCTATATGAAAAATATATCAGCACGAATCTCAAGGCAAACAGACAGTTCTGGAACGAGGAATGATCAATCGGACGCCTTATAGACGACCGAAGGATTGAATGCTAATAGAGAAGGGAAGTCGGTCGATTGGAAGAATGCGACAAAGAACTTCCTATAGAACGACAATCAACTCTAAAGCCAATCGATAAGTTACTCAATCTAGAATCGTGTAGCAATGAAATTAAGGCGTAGCGAGCAATCGACAGACGTCTTATCAACAAAATATATTCGTCAGTTTTATTATACTCTGATGTTATTGTAATTACTAAAAAACAACCCCCCCTTTCTAACCTAATAATGAGGGGACTGACTTGTAATTTGGTAATAGCGTGGCCTATTCCTATAAATAGGTGATTCATGTTATCAGTAAAAGCGAGGCTCTTTTAATGTTTCCTACTATGCCATCTCTCTCTCTAACGACTTCTTAGCAAAACGTTCTATGCCTTGGATGTGTTTTCAGGAAATTTTTGGATTCAACAAGTTAGTTGGAATTAAAAGAGAGAAAAGAAGCGGAGATATACAAATTTGAAATCTCTTATTTGCATTATATATTTTTCTCTCATATCGTAGTAAATCCACTGTTCTATGTAGCTGTGAACTTTAACTTGAGCTGAATCACGTAAATTTTGATATTCTCATTCAATGATACTTGATCTATTTTAAAGTCTCACTTTGTTGTTCATTATACTCGCTTCTAGGTTGACTCTTCCAATTTAGCCGAGCTAACAACCTCCTCTACCATTTTTGGGTGCTACCTTATGTTGATTGACTATGACTGTGAATTATCTAAATGAGATTTCATCCCTATACTCTTTCATTCTTTAGAAGTCCAAGCACCACGCCTAATAGTCCGTGATCATCCAAATGTTCGGATTTTAACACCTCTTCTCTTTCTTACATTGTTCTAGATTTCCTCTATTGATTGACATTCTTCGTTGGGCCATTTTGATCTACCTACTGGGGAATTATTTATTTTTTAAACTTGTGGTAATTCCATGGCAAGAAGAATACCCCACAGAAATTAAATTAACTACTATTTTATTTGAAGATTGAAAATTACTGGTGATTCTAGTGAACTAAACTAAAGTACTAACTAAAAACTCCTAATAATTAATGTTGACTGGAGATTTTTACAATATAAAATGGGGAAATGGTTGTCATATTCTACATAAAGATTTCTGTTGGTAAAAATCTTAATTTGGTTTATTGAACAGTATCCGCTACTATAATCTCATTCAAAGGAGATATCCAAAACTCTCTCAAAAAAAATAGAGAAACAAATTGCTATAATCAAATCTAGCATCAAACACATCTGACGCAAAACAAGAAATCAGTCAGGTTATGTAATTTATATGCATATATCTCTATTCTATAATTGACTATGGTATTTCAACCACGTTGAATTTATTTATCACCTGTTGATTCTTTTAGGTTTTTATGCAGTTGATGGTCTGCAGTTACTGAAAAGTTAAAAATAAATTGAAACATTCAGCATGAACTCATATCAATAAATTAAAACTACCATTTCAACTTTCAATATATGGCTACATCATACACTTGGATTATTTATAACACATTCAAAAGGATATGATTTCGCTTGTGCCGAACTTACCAGTTCCCCTTTCATAAACCATTATATTTGACCTTACCCAAAACTATTCTTTATCTATTAATTTCATGGGGCATTTGCATACATACCATCCACTTCCTATGTATTTACATATCTAACACCTAAACTTTACTTTTTTACATTTCTACCACCCAATTTTTTATAAAAAATTGCACTATTATAAGTTTCAAAAAGTGAAATACATCTTTTCATACATATATAAGACGGCATATATGTATAAATTAAAGTTTAGTTGTTAGATATGTAAATACATAGTAATCCAGTGGTATGCTTGCAGTCTTCCTAATTTTATTTATAATGTAACCCATCCAACGTTGTGATGTTTTCAGTTCCTTTACTGATAGGGAAATAATGGATAATTTGAAGGCCAAAGTGATAAGATGGTAGCTAGTTGGCACTCGACCCATTTTAATTGCAGGGAATATTAACATTTTGCCAAGAATAACCACAAACTGTCAAGAAACATAAAAAGTTCAAAGTGTGAAGCTGAAAATAAAAGAAAAATTCTGTCTCCTTTAAGTTTAGTTCTGTTTAATTTTTATTTCTTTGAGCACGAAGAAAAGCTTTTGATCATTGAATTTGATAATAAAGCTTGATTTATTTTCATGATTCAATATTGAACTGATAAATTCTGAGTATTCTGAAGATTTTCCTATTGTTCTTCTAAAGCTGTTAGAAGCATCCAAGTCCAAGCCGAACAATCAGATCGCCATGATGACGAATCTCAGGACTCGAAACCTACTCGCAATGATTCACAGAGTCCCACCAAATTTGCTGAAAAGCTCAGCAATTCAGCCGAAGCCTCCAATGTGAACTACACAGCCACATCCAATTTGAAAACATCAGCAAGACATGATCTAGCCATGATCTTCACCTGCAAGGTATGCGAGACTCGATCTGTGAAAACTATGTGCCGTGAATCTTACGAGAAAGGCGTCGTTGTCGCTCGATGTGGAGGCTGTAACAATCTCCATCTCATTGCCGATCACCTCGGCTGGTTCGGAGAATCTGGAAACGTTGAGGATCTCCTGGCAGCTCGAGGTGAGGAGGTGAGGAAAGGTACGATAGACACACTGAATCTTACTTTGGAGGACCTCATCGTAACCAAATCTTCTTCATGACTGTTTTGTTCCCCTAATGAATTCAAACTCTCTTTGGGAAGTGTACTATTATTTGTTTTAGGGGGCATTTACACACATACCACACAATTCTAATGTATTCACATATCTAGGCACCTAAAGTTTCATACATATTTACATTTATAACACAGAAAGATTTAACATCACATAAAAAACTCCATTATAAATGCATCTTTTCGTGCATGTTTATGACACCAAGATATTATAAATTTAAAAATCAAATTTTAGATGTTAGGTATGAAAATACGATAAGATTGCGAAACTGTGAAAGAAAAAAAAAACTGTTTTCTTACATTAATTATGTACAAGGCATGCATTCGTGAGTGAAGCACACCTTAGATTACATGTATGTAAAATTTAAAATTTAGGTGTAGGTAGATATGCAATTATATAAGACTTGAGTGTTATGTATGCAAAGCTTTCTTTTGTTAGGTTTACTTCTCATATGTCAGCATATAATTGATATATTAAGAATGGACTTGTTCTTTCTCATCCTCCTTTATCTTCTCAAAAATTGTAATTTCATGTCACATTCTTAATCTCTGTTAAATTATTTGATTCCATCTTAATCCTTACATAATTGAGTTTATTTAGATAACGAAAATAAATATTATATATATGTATATATATATATATATATAGATATATATATATATATATTGCCGATGACAAAGTCATAAAAAACGTGGTCAAAGTTGTTTGTTTGTTATGGGAAAAAGCTGTACAGTTAATACGGTTATATATCAATATGTGGTCCCTTCGCTTGTATATTTTCTTGACTAAAAACGGGAAAAGTATCTGAAGAGATTGGAATTAGGAGAAAGTTCAGATACAACTTGACCCAAATTCACTTAAAAAAATGTTTAATATTAAAATTTCATAACTATGCACGAATCACGATATATTTTTTTTTGAAATGAAGTTTAAATTGAGATAAAAAATTATCTAGAACTTTGATTTCAGTAAACTTTAAACAAACTGATCGTCTCTATAAGACAAATCTAATGATATCAAAATGAATCCAATCTGAGTCAAGTCAAATCAAGATCAAGTCATTAAATCATATGCTTTGGATAGTTAATTGAAAGGTCAAATTAACTTTGAATTTGATTTAATTATAATTGAATTGAGCGTTTTGATGAGAGGAACCTAATGAGCCCAAGATCATCTTATTCTTTGGACATTAAGGTCTTCAAATCATAAAAAAAAAAATTCTTTCAATCAAGTCGTTGCGAGAGTTATTGGCAAATAACCAACTTAACCCTTCCATGGAGCTTATAAATAGACTCCCTCTATTTACTTGAGGGGGAGGAAGAGGAAAAGAAATTAAATTTCAGTGTTGTTTTGGAACAAAAATCTGATGATAACTTTCATCCATTGGTGAGTTATGTTTACTTACGAAGTATCTTGAATACGGTGTAATGAAGTATCTTGAATACAGTGTAACGAATAACAACATATTGAAGATTTGATGATAACTTCCGATAATAATTATTTATGACCAACATATTCAAAATTTGGGGACTTTTAACTCCTGAAGTTTTTATACGTTGTATACCAACAAGTGTTCTCTGGCATAAAATAATAAATTTGAGAGAATGGTTGTAGCTATCAACTGGTGTAACACTAACTATGACATACATGACTAATTGTTGCATTACGACATTCCACTACAGCCTTTGTGACCAACTGACTCTGTTGTAGCGACCTATTATGGCCTATGTAGCCAGTTGCTCTTGTAGCTTCGCAGTACAACCTATGTGGCTAATTGTTGTAATTCCAATCTTCCACTATAGTATATGTGGTCAATTACTTTTTTAGTTTTTCACTACGACATACGTGGCTGACTGCTATCATTATAACCTTTCATTATACCCTATGTGACCAATTGATGGTCTTTTAAAGGCCCACTATGACCTATGTGGTCAGATATTACTGTAGTTTCCCACTACGGACTACATGACTTACTACTGTCATTACTACCTTTCATTACAACCCCTGTGGCCAACTAAAACCCTTGCAGTAATTCATTACGACCTATGTGGCGAACCAACGCTCTTACAAGTATCAATTACGATGTCTTTTCTAGTTAGCTGATGCTACTGCAACTATCAATCACAACTTATATAACTGACTGCTACTGCAACTTCTAACTATGGTCCGTGACCAAATATGATCTAGCTAGATAACTGTTGTTGCAGCCTCAAACTACAATCTATTTGACTAATTGCTACCATAACTTCGACCTATATATATGTGAATCTTACGAGAA